TTCCAAGTGGCCAACTTGACAGACTATCTTTAAACAATCAGCAGTTCCACAGCCCTGCATATAAAAATAGGAAGGATATGCCAAATATGAAAGTGTTTGGAAAGTTGTTAATGGCATTACTTTACTCATACACATACTTTATTGTCCTCTTTTCCTGGAGAAGCACCATAAGCCATTTGAATATATTAAATAACCCCCAGTGTTGAATAATTACTTACAGAGTCCCGTAAGCTTGCATTCAGAAGAAGATTATGTGAGCCACTTGGATCTCAAAGATGAAACAGCTGGTGGTAGCTTTAAGGTATGTACTTTATGTACAGACGTAGGAAAAAAATGTGGGGGGGGCGTGTGTGCATGTGCATGGGGTTTCTAGTAAATTCACATTACTGTGCTCCAGGTGTGTTTTGATAGGAAAACTCATGGCAATTAACTGCACGTGGTGCCAACAAAATATGCTTCCTTGAATTCAACGCAAGTCTTCCAACTTGACTGACAGACTTAATCTATAAGCCATACTTAGGACTACAGAAGTTCAACTGACCTGTATCAACCACATTTCCATTAAAATCCATCAGATAATACTGATGCTAAACCATCAGTATTTCAAGAAGAAAGCAGGGCAAAACAAGGCTTCATTTTATAATCGTGATTTTAGCTGTACTATAGATAAAAGCACTGTACTGCTAGTGTAAATACAACTCTGTGAAATTAGTATGATTACTGGATATTAGTATCTGGGGTGAAACCCTGCTAAGCCATTGGGAAGATCTGGCAAAAACAAACCCTTTAAAAAACAAAACAAAACTCCCAAACTGGATTTATAGATACTGAAGAATATCTGTAGCTTGTATCTAAAAAAAATAAGTAAATTTTCTCACCATAAAACAAGAAATTAATTCCTATTTTCACTTTCTTTGCTCAGTCCTTTTTTTATCCTCTCTAAAGCCTAAACGTTTCTGGAATCAGGGTTGTACTGCCTTAGTCCCATTGGTCCACCCTACTCTCCCAAGCATTTCTCTCAGCTGCCTGCCTCTCCTACTTTGCCTTCACTTCTGCGAGTGCGGTTACAAAGGCAGTGATACAGTAATATATTTACTTCATCTTACAGGTTATTTCCAGTCTTGTTTGGAAAGAGCAGGTTCTCCATGATTGCAGCATGTGCGCTGATGTTGTGAAATCAACTGTAATTTGTAGCAAAGATGATGAGAGGAACACTCACCTGCTTTGTCCCAGTTACCTTATTTTACCAGCCCTCCTCCTATGAAGAACTGATTTGCAAATTCAGAAAATAGCACTATATAGAAGATTGACTTTTGTTTGTAAGCACGTAAAACATAACAGCACAAAACCTGAGGTATGCCTCAGTGGCTGACTACCCTGAGGAAAACTGATGCATATTGGAAAACAAAACAACACAGCTCCAGAGCATATGACTTTTTTATCTGTTAACTGTTTAAATACAGAACATGGATTTTCTGAAATGATTCTTCAGCTCCTGGAGCTTTTGTCTCCATTTTCTTGTTTAAAAAAAAAAAATATTATCAACATATCAATGCTGAGAGCTTACCAAAGTGTGCACGTCTCCCTCAATGGCAGTTACATCCCTTCGACTGATACGATGATCGCGACTATCTTCCCTGCCAAGTGTTTCATTCTTATCATCATCTTTAGAAGAAACCTAGGATACACCAAGGAAACCCAAATAATAGATAATTCTTACATTTAAATACTTGCAGACTTCAAAGTTAAGGTCAAAAAAAAAAAATATACCTAATCAGGTTTCTCTCTATCCTACCTGTTCTTCAGAACTTGTCTTTACCTACAGCTGTAATTAAAATGTAACTCCTGCCTTTTCTAGATCACTGATGAAAATTTCTACTAAGAACTAACACAGAGCCTTGAGTATCTGAATTCTTTTTCAAATCAAAACTTTTTCATGTATAGGAAAAAAATACTCTTAGACTGCAATAAATAATTCAATTTTGTGATCTTTAATAAAAAATTTTGCCTCAACATTTCAGTTTTTAACTCTGAAAAAATAGCACTAGTACAGTACTGATGTACCACATATCACTGTACATGTGTATACATGTCCAGACATACACAAAAACTTCAGTAATTCCTTAGAAATTCCCAATGTAAAATTGTAGATTTACATATGGGACTAGACAGAGCCATGCTACTTGTCCTCTACGTAACAAATTTGTATGAGAAAACTTACAAGAGAGTTGTAAAAAAAATATATTATTACCAATGATACACCAAAAGCACAGGAAATTTGTATTTATATATTCACTAAAGTTGATTTCTGATTATCAAAGATACATAAGTATTCTTTGTTTTCTATACATTGAATATCTTCCCTTAGTCTTTTTATCCATGTGTTCACTTAAATGCTTCTAGAACTACTATACTGATTTTTACTGTTTGTTCTAAATTGTCTCAGAATTCAGCTCTCCACTCTCAAACTGGCTGGTTTTTATCTGGTGTTTCTTTGCCTAGTCCAACCTGGGAAAAAGGAGTTTCTTCTGCTCTGTGATCTGCAAACTGCATGTTTTGCTGGCAGTGATAACATACTTTTAAGCCTCACTGAAACACCCCTATTGACCTCTGTGGCATTTGGACGGGGCCCTAGATAAATAAGCTAGTAATAGAAAAAATAATGCCATTTTCTTCCAAGAAATAAACCCCAGAAAATTTACATAAGCAGCGCAGAAGAATTTGGAATGTTCTGGTTCCCAACCACATTCAATGTAATTCCATTGCTCTGGACTTAGAACTCATACAGTACAGTCTTCAAGGGGAAAAAAAACCCAAAACAACACAACAAAAAGAAGCAAGACAAATTTATCTTTGGGCTGACAATCTATTCTCTACCTTTTATTTCACTTGCTGTATACAATGCAGTCCTGTTCCTCAGCAACTCAATGTTAGATATTCTCAAGGATTTGGGTATTAAGAGTCTGTTCCCAAAACAAACATACTTCATTTCACTCAAGCAAAAATAAAGTCCTACTTACCTTAATTTTCAAGGGATTGATTTCCATATCAGAAGTGCAGTTCATGGGACCATCAATGTCATACTGAACCATATACAACAGTGTGTAGTTTTTATATTTGTAAGGCCACTGCAGAGTCATCATCACCTTGCTGAATGCACTTGCACCATTGTTTCTCAGCTGATTATGAAAATAAAGTTAACAGATATGAAAAACAACAATGCCACCTTCTTTGTTAAAGTGCATATAGTTGCTATTTTATATGTAAGCCATAAACGATACCGCCGCTACCCCTACCTGCAACTACTTATGGCAATATCATCAACAACTTTACCTAATAATGGTATCTAAACTTCAGTCCCCCAACAGGCAAAACTTCAAATTACTTCTGTAATTTGATAAAAATTACTTCTAAGAAAAACTATATGGCATTAGGTTTTTTTGCCATGAAGAAATGTAGTTTTTTTCCTTGAAAAAATGTACTTTTTTTGTAGTCTATTGCATGAATCACAGCCACTGTATATGTCTCAGCTAAAATACTATGAGCACAGACACATACACCCATAAGTTTTGTTAGATAAATGGCCTCTTAAGCTCTAGAAAACCTTTTATCTATTCTTATTCACATAGCACTCTCAGTTAAAGTAAACAATCTAGATTAAAGCTGTGACAATTCTTTTAAGGAAGTTTTAAATACTTAGAATTTTTCAAGGCAGAATCTTTACAATAATGATTCAGAACAGTTGAACAGCTGGACTAATGAGAATACTGAATAATTTATAGCCATGAGTCATTTTCTGAGTTCAAGTTACTTCAAATGTTTTATCTAGATTTCAAAGAGCTAGAAGATAAAATATGTATATGATGTAAAAAAATCAGCCTCTTCTATTTGGCCACTCCTGTTACACTAATGGCATGCATTCCAGCCCTCCTTGCAGATACCAATTAATGACCCAGCATTAAAAAAAAAAAAATCATTTTGTTTCCATGCAAGAACAAAATGAAGCAAAAAAATCATCATTTACTCCGAAGAAAAGCTACACCAATAGATTTCTTTTCCTTTATCACTGAACTGTGTAATTGAAATCAGTAGTAACTGCATACCTCATAGATATGCTGAACTAGAGGCCCAATATCATCTTCTGTTTCTGGATTCTCCTTCGGCTGCCAATTTGCAATAGGAAGGAATATGTGATCAGGAGACGACACACTAAACAGCAGAGCAAACAATTCGTTACTATAAAGTATGAAACGATGAATGTCATTCTCTAGAACATCTCAAAAAATCAACAGGCTTAAAATACAACCTCCAATTTTTCATCCTCTGTATATAAAATCAGAAAGAACAGAGGTTGAGTGGCTTGTATATTAAAGGTTCAGTATTCTTCTCTATACAAAAAGATGAACCTTGTATTTAGAAACAATTTTTGCTGTCCTAAACTTTGGATTCATCCTACAACATCTAGTAAACCACTAATAGAATTAAGATACATATATGTCAGCCAAAAACCAAAGTGTGAAATACTTCGATAACGAGAATGTTGATGTTGTAGAGACTTATCAGTACAGTCATAAGACTAATTCAGCATGCACTGGAAACAGTGAAGCTAGCAATAATGCTTTTCAGTTGTGCCATCCCCTCACCTCTCAGATATTAACAAAATCAGATCGCAATAATGAATGTAGTGGAAATTAAAAAAAAACAACGACTCAGGAATCTGAGCTAACTGGCTAAGCAAGAGGACTGTACAGCTTTCAGGTTTGAAGTACAGATTTCTGGTAAGCAGAAGTTACAGAGGTAATGGAATCATTACAATATTAATACCATGCTTAAGACTGAAGAAGGTGAGGGCATTGCAAATTTATCCTCAATAGGATTTTCAACTTTGGTTTTAGAAAAGGTTTCAGTGGTTTTCGGATGAAAATCCAGTAACAGTTCATGGAGGAGTAAAGCAACCTGCAGAAATGCATGCAACTGCAAAAATGAAGGGTGATTTATTTTTTCTTCCTTCATCTAAAAAAACCTATAGTAATAGAGGCACAACATTCCTTTTGGAATTAATTTTGTTATTAGTTAGAATTATTTAAGATCTGAAAGTCCAAAGGGTGGCTAGAAAGAACCACATTTTCTTTATGATTAAAAATTCCCTAAGGCTTCTTGAAAATGTATACAAACCTGAAAGAAAGTTCATTGAATATAAAGAAGGAAACATGCAAAGCTCATTTGAGAAAGACGTTTATTAAAATAGTATCAATGCTTACCCTCTAATTTCAGCAGCTGCTAAAATAGCAAGGTCAGCCCGATAGAATGCTACTGGACTGACATTGTCATACAGGTTGGAACTGTAGAGAAAAGAAGTTAATTTCTTAAATGAAATAAGATAAGTATTTTTTTTTTTAAAAAAATCTTAAAATAATTGTAACATCATAATGACTCCTGAGCCACTGTAGCAAAGCACATTTACTAAAAACTAAGAAGCAGATTCCAGTAAGTTCTCGCTTAAATGCATGACAGTGCCACTCTCAGTGGATTTGGAGGTCCCTCAGCAGGGAGAGTCAATAAAGGACACAGAGCTAATTCCGACTCTGTCCCTTAGCTGCCACGTGTAAGAAAATTCAAATGCCAGCACTGTGGGATAACATCAACAATACAGCTAGCAGAGCCTTGAGTTCCACTTTAGGACATGTGTTTTGCTCAGGGACTTCTTGGCCTCAAACTCGTCCCAGAGCAGAAAAGTAAGCTAGGGCTACTTTTGCCTACCCTTCTTTACAGCGTTTAAACCAGTAAACAAATACAGATAACATCCAATTCCTACACTTCAGATACACCAAGATATGACAGATACTAAGGCACGTAAAGTCATTCATACATAAAATTTCTTTGGAGTGTCTTTGTAAATTGAGAAAAAGAAATATAGAGTACACTCCTATTCCCCTCACAGTGGAGCTGGGAACAGCATCCTGATCTCTACTTAGACAATTCGGTCTACCTAACCAAACAATTTCCTTTAGAAAGATCTTCTTAAATCCTCCAATTACTCTTCACTGCTCTTGTAATCAAAAAATACATGCAACAGTGTTTTCTTCCTAACCTGTAAATACCTCATTCTTTCAGGGACTAGAGTTTTTCTGCCAGGAATTGTGCCAGCTTTGGGAATCTAGCTTTGTGAGTTTAAGACAACTAATGTGATCTTTAAAACCTCTTCATGATAATACCTTGCTAATGCCTGTCACTGTGAACTGTGATTACCATGCTCGATTGCATCACTGTTCTGGCATTCAGAAGTAACATAAGGAAATAGCTTCCATAAAAGGTGTAAAATATTACAGGAACTTCCCTTCTCTTCTGTCAGAAGAGAAGCATGAGTCAAACAACCTTACTGACTTCCTTCTCCCAGTGAAAGGTCATTAGTGACTGCTGTTAGCCTAAGGAAGACGATGGACATCCCAGAGAAGATCACTTTCTGCAAAGAACTAGTCACATGCCACTGGCACAGCTTACTAGCTAATGGAGAAGAGGGAAAAAAATTGAACTGACAGCTATGTGAGACCAAAGGCTGCCAAGGCCTTTGATCAGTATGGCAAAACACTGTACCATTAAAAGAGAATGGCAGGTTTAAACTTATTTAACTATTGTAGATGAAAAATGCTGTATGTGGATGAAAATAATTTATTCACTACATTAAAAAAAATGAAGTCCTTAAATGGAAAACAAAAAAAGCCTTTGGTCCACCATGTGGAAGAAAAAGCAGCTGTATTTGCATTGTCCATTAAGCAACATAAAACTGTATTGGGTAAAGAGATTCCTATTAATCACATTTCCAAATCTTAAACATCATCTCTAATAGTATAAAATCAGATTTATATATCATACACTACATGAAAGTGCTGTACTCGTAATTAACAGGAACACTACTGTTTCGTTCCATATAATTTTTTAGACTCTCTTATGCTGGCTACTGTAGAACGCTCAAAATGGTTCACTGCATGTTGCTTCTGCTCAGACATTCACATGCATTGCCTTTTCTGGAAGACTTACACCTCTCCATAAAATTTTAAGCTCTGGCTTAAACTTTACATCAGAAGGAATTCAGAGTTCAAATATCAGGTTTAAAACAGGGCTAGAAACCCAAAGACACAAGTCATTCTGTGACACTACGCAAGCGTCAAGAAATCACAACGGTACGCAGGTGCAAAAATATAAAGTTTTTCTTGAATCATTTTAAATGGTTTTGTTCTTCATTATTAATATTTCACTTGTGCCACAGCCTGTCTAAAAGCTACAAGCAAAAGAAACTGCATCCAAACAGAAAACTGTTTTCTTACATTTTCCCCCCTATTTTAGAAAACATAATTCATTAAAGAGATGTTTATATTTTAAATAATTACGAGGCAAAGATCAGAGAATTAGTCCAGAGCGAAACTAATGGCTTAGTTCACAGTCTATTTACTTAGCATGTTATCTACCAGGTGAGGTACATACTCATAGATTTCCGTACCTTCGGATTTGCAAGTCAAACTTCACAGAGGTATCCATTTCAGACTGCTGGTGCACGCTGAAACGCAGGCCAGCTAATAGCTTTAGAAAAAAAATAATCACCATGGTTTAGTGGAAGCACAATAAAATACACAATAAAAGCTTCTTAATACTATTATACTAGAACAAAATTACTTGAGGCTTGTGGTCATAAGAGAATACACACAGCTAACTGGCAAATTGTCCAGTTCATCAAGACTAGAAAGGTACAGTACTCTCTGTAGATTTCAGCTCATGCATCACTGCCACAAAATAGAAATGTAAGGTTTACATCATTAAATCCCTCCCTTGCTTTGGCTATTTCTACACTTAACTGAGCCTCCCTATGTGTTGCAAAACCACATGACTCTAACTTCAGTTCTCCAGGTTTATTCTAAGTCAGTGCATGACGGTTGCTTCAACAGTTGCACTTGATATAGTTTGAAAGACTTTGGAAATAGCATTTATTCGTCTACACAAAACATCTCTTGGAAGAAAAGCACCATCAAAGCGTTTACGATTGTGACTGATTTTCACTTTATTTCCTCAGAAAATAAGACTTATTATGTCATATCATCTTAATGTCTACCAGGTCGCACTAATAGTTTCTTAATTCTTCCAATTTCAGCTGCATCTGGTGGAAGAGCAGAGCTCTCAACTAGACAAAACTCTCTCTCAGACTTCACAAAACTAGGCAGAAGACAGGATGACTATTAAGTTTCCACTAAAAGAAAGGTGTGTTATAAGCTAGCTCTTTATTATATACTAAAAATACCTATCAGATACATCTAAAGACAAACTCATAAGGGATCAGAGTTCACTAATTCCTTTTCACTAATTCCTTTCTGAACACTCCTTTCGGCCTTTAATTTAGCTGAAGTCAATGACCAGTGAACTAAACAAACATGTGGGCAGCTAAATGTCACATACATCTAATTTTAAATTCCTGTGAGCCCAAAATACTACTGTGATTAAGCAAAATGTTTGAGCTACCAGACACCTGTTGGACCAAACCTTACCTTAGTTCCTGCTTTCATGGGATTTCCCAGGTCACAGACTACCATGCGAGTTTGATTCTCTGTTTTAAATGCACATGACAGTCTTGCTAAAGTCTGCAATAAACCAGAAGGAATGTCATTCTTTACATCTGGACACCCGGATGAATGTCTGGAGAAAAGTTCTCGATATGCTGCATTAATTTTAACATAATTTCTCAGTCCTAACACAGTCAAGCATAAAAATTAAATAAAATCTGAGTACAAAAGTCTCCATGGAGATAAATGGTTTTTTATACAAGACAGATGCTCTGTCCAAGGTTATAAAAAGAAAAATTCAATACTCTTATATTGGGTAGCATTGATGATTTTTGTGACCTAAAGCATTTCTCCACGTGGTTCTTTAAAATCTATGCAAAGAAACTTCGGCAACTGGGCAAACTCTCCATAGGAAAATAAAGACTGGAAGGCAAAATGACATGAATACTTACTAGCTTACACAAACAGAGGTCTTAGACGAGCTGTCAGATTTTGGATAAAGCCACATCACAAAGCTCTAGAGTAGCAGAGGCAAACTGGAGAACCAAACTTAGGCATGGTCCAGCATATATGGAGGATGTGGTATCAAAGTTGGAATACTTTGATATAGGGGAAAATAGTTTTCCCCTTAACATTTTGCAACTTTACAGATATATAGGTTATACTGAATAACAAGGATGAAGAAAATCTGAAAGCCTATTACTTATATATAGCTGTAATGGGCTGAAACAAAATCTGGACTATACCCATGTGTCCTCAAAGAAACAGAAGTTATAAGACATTTTGTAATACAAGGGTGTGGAATCATACACACAGTTACAGTTGGGGTTTGACCTTGATGATTTAAGCCTGTGTTCTTTCTGAAGTTGGGAAACCCCAATAAAGAGGATAGAAAAGAAAAGGTAGTGTGAGCAGCTGGCATGGGGAGTGTGAGAAGCTAGCGCAGGGAGTGTGAGAAGCTGACATAGGGAGTATGGGAAGATGATATAAGGTGTGCGAGAAACTGTTATTTAGTTTAGTAGTGCTTTTTTAGGCATAGCCAATAGTAAAGCTAAAATAGGCGCGTGCACTATTGTTTGTAACCAATCACAGCTGGGCAAGGGGCGCGTGGACACATCATAGCTGGAGTGATGATCTATAAAAACTGCTTGTAAATTGTAATAAAGGTGTCTCTGGTATCACATCTATGGAGTCCGTGCATTCATCCGCCGCACAAGGGAAAGTCAGGAAATAAATTTTAACGTTCTGTGTATAGTCAGGGTAACTGACACCCAAGACTTTCTACATACTGAAGTGGAAGAGAAAAGTAATACCCAACATCACTTTTTGCTGCACAGGTGCCCAGTTTTTTACCTAGGCACATAACATACTAACTAAATTTAAATAAACTAACAGGGCACTGTTCAAATAAAGACTTGTAGCAAATAAATTCTGTGTATCAAGCTTCATCACAGCTATGATTCTCCTTTGTTGCTAACAGTAGGCTTTTAAACTGGAACAGGCCAGCCAGGTGTTACGTAGCCTCGGGGCTTGGAGAACCTTATCATTTTTTGGTGCTTTACGATTGAAGCGCAAAAACCCACCACTGATGGACCCTCTCCCACAGACTTCCATAGCAGCACCTGAAACATGACTACTCAAAGAAGAAAGATAGTGAGAATTTTTACCTCATTGTTACGAACAACGCCGATGAAATCTGCTTGGGGTGGAACGATGACAAAGAGTTCTGCTTCATAGGCTCCTTCCCCTTGATTCTGAGCACTGACAATAAGTGTCAAGGGACTGTCATCACCAATATAGATCTGCTTCTGATCACTACAAAAAACAAGTGTAAAAATTAGCTCTGCATTCAGGTTTTAAAGAGTATTGAATGGTTGAACTTATAGAAACGAGATACGTTCTGAAATTGCACAAAGACATTAGAGAAATCTAGAGGCAATACCTATGCCTCAGGAATATGAGAAGAGCTCTACACTATGTTTAAAATAAAAACATGTTTATAATCTCAAAAATAGTGCAAATATTACATGCTGGTTTGTAAGAATCTTTTTTTATAAAATTTTATAAAAAACCACAAAACCACTGAAATATTTTTTTAACAAAGAACAAAACTTACAAACAGCTAAATCACTGTGTACGTTTTGAATTACATGCCTACTTAGCAGAGGTACAAGCATACATTTGTAACAAAACTTGATGGAAGGCTCAGCTACGGAATACAGCTAAGACCTCTGTAATACATTTGTTCCAAATACAAGAATACCTTCCCAAACAATGTATTTTCATTTCACCAACTACAAGAAAACTTAACTGCACCTGTACTGATGTAAAATGTTTCTGAAGCATTTGCATGAATTAGTACGTTTGTGAACTGTACTATGTACATACATGTGCACATGCTATGGCTCTGCACCAAGGGCATAAAACCCCCCCAAATATTGATGAGTAGAGACGATACACTAAGAATGGCTTTCGGGTATACAAAGCACAAATAGGACAGACTCGTGATGAATTATGAGTTAAAACTTGCTTCTTTTTTCAAGGTTTAATAAAAGATATTACCAACAATTTTCTTCATACACGTGACAACAGAGCCCTACTCCACCCCTTGCGGGATAAAATCATGTCTGTTCACATCTTCATGTGTGTGTCTAGTATCAAGTAACAGAACAGTGGTACAATTGCTGCTAACACTGGATAATGCTTGCTATGCGTGTCTAGCTTAGCAAACACACAAATAAATGCTGTGTACTTATAGTGGGGGCCAGGGTGCGTGCTCTCCCTGTATTACATGCTAAAGGCATTAAGTTACAGAGCAGAAAATGGGTTTTCCTTAAAACAAATAAGCATGAGTTTAGATTGTATACACTGAGGAGGAGTTCTTATTTCAACACATCCTTTTAACAAAAGTGTTACAAGCTTCTGAAGTTTAGTATTCAAGTAAGGAAGTTACTTTTCCCTGTAGTATTTTTCTAATGTATTTACCTTTCTACTGAAACCTCCAGCTTTGGTTTGCAGATATTATCATCACCACAATCCAGCAGAATATGTGCCTATGCAAAAATCAAACGCATATTGTTGCAGTAATTCCTGCATCTGTTCTAACATACATTTTCAATAATACCGTTTCAGCACAAATAAAAAAAATTTTAAATAGCTGGTTATGAGATACCTTCATCTCATGATGTCTCAGAAGAGAACGATGAGTTTTTATGTATGGGGGGCACTGTGCCTCATCCTGCCACACTGCATGTCTACATATCTCAATGCTCTTTTCATACTTTGAGTAATCTGTTTATCTTGAGTTGCATCTCCACCATCCTCTTTACAAACAAGTATAAAAATTTGTAAAAAAGGACACAAATAGAAAACTATGTTTATTACCTTAAGAGAACTATAGGGATAAACATAATATACACAGAGCAGCATAGTATGAGCAATGGATGAAACACTCCAATCCTTCAAGATTGACACCTGCAATACTACTCTAACTGCTTTTCTCCAGAAAACCGTTAATCAGTGAGTGTGAAAAGGAAGTCTAGCACTAAGGATTAAAGTGTCAAAAAAGAAATTTGACACAGAGAGGGTAAAAAAGAGAAGACAAACATAGAATAACTATTGATATTTCCATAATTCAAATACTTAAGCCTAGATGTATATTGTGGTATGTTAATTTTTCAAAAGTTCTAAGATAAGTATTGAGAGCTGAAAATTTGTTCTGGGTTCTCTCATCGCAGGTTGTGTAAGGGGTATACCTGTCTGCTCATATTAGCAGGAGTGAACTGGTTGAGGATAGGATGCAATCCTGTTGCATCTGCAGCTGTTCGGTAATCCAGACGATATTCCATAAAAATAGTAATGGGAGTTAGTTTGTCTCTAAATTCAGATTCATCCTGAAGAAACCAAAGATTTGAATTACATTTAAAACATGTGAAGAAAACAACAACAAAAATATTCTTCAAAAGTCTCTACAGGCAAACATTCATCCCAAGAGCAATACTGAGCAGTGTTTTCATTTATTGTTCACGTTGTAGTAGGAATGAGGAAGCCGAAACAACATTTCTGAGCTCTTTTCAAACTAGAAAATCTCTTGTCAGAAAACCTGCAGTGTGAACTTAGAAGATGGACAATTTTAGTAGTAATATGCCTGTTTTACGAAAGGAAAACTGAAGTATATGGAAGTATTAAGTCACAGAACTATAATAGTGAGGAGCCTAAAGGGCTATACAATTCCACTTTATTGTCAGACAAAATTCAGTATGCTTGTAAGATCCTTCATCTTTGGACTTGTGATTTTTCTTTCCTAAAATTATTACTTTGCACTTGGAGTTGCTGACATTCATATTGTGTATTTCAAATCATTCTGTTTATCAAATGTTGATCCTGCCTTTCAAAGTACTTAGAAACAATCTCTTAGCTTTGTTAGCCACAGATTTTATCAGTGTAAACTACACTTCATTATTCTCATTTCTGAGAATAATGAAAATTACTCAATCTAGAACAGCTCACTGCAGGAACTTACCAGAGAAGCTATCTTCTATGGGCAGAAACCTATTAATAACTTACAGTTTTCAACTGGTTTTGCATCCAATTTAAGGTAATTTCATATAGGTCATGTGTCATTACTTTCTTTATAAGAATGTCAGGTGGGAAATTCTTAAAGCTTTACTAACACTGAGATCTGGATATCTATTTCCATATATATCTCACTCATAAAGCCAGTCAAAGAAAGGTATTACCCATCCTCCAGGAATCCTTAATGATTACTAATATTTTTATTGGGTTGGGTTTCTTTTGGAAAGGGGAGTAAGTATTCTTTATGTTTGATTTATAAGTGCTCAGAGATAAATCTGAGCTGCATCTAATTTACACACATAGCTACACTTTCACATGTCCTTCCTTATTTCAGCCAGTCTCTCTTCTACTGGCTTATATTTTTCAATTGTGTTAGCATCTGTCCATATGTGTGGGGACTAAAACAAAAATACTGAGAAAAAGCAAAAAATATTTCAACCTTCTCTGTCTCCTCTATTATTTGATGATCTTTGCTTTTATGTTGCAGATCCGTATTTTTCTTTATTCTTTTACCTCCAAAGTAGAAGCACAACCTCTGCTTACTGATTTTCATGTTCCTTAGAAATTATAACTAATTTTGTGCCTAGATGACTTGTCCAAGAAGTCCATAACAAAGTTCGGAATTGAATTTCCAATTCATTTAGTGACCAGAACCTTAGTCACAATAATATCCATTGTTCATCCTCTGGCAACAGTGATAACCCGAGACAGACATACGGCTTTAGTAATTTTAGGATTATCCATTGGGCATGAAGTTTCTCTAGCATTTCTTTTTTTTTTTTTTTAAAACACCTAACATAAGGAACTTGTAATAGACAAATCCCCAAAAAGTATTTGCCTAAAACATAAATGGCTACTTACCCTCAAAAAGGCATCAAGTTCTTCACAATTCATTTTGCCCCCCTTTGTAATAGTCATGTTCTTAGAGTGGCTAGGCTGTTTGCTGTGGAGAAAGAGAGCTCTCCTTATAGCTCCTTTCTGCTTAAGTTTATCCAACAGCAGCTCCACTTGGAAATCTGTCCAATTCAAAGCATTTAGGTTAGGGATATTTCATTCAATTAAACACAGTGCAGATTCCCATCAGAAATGGAGCTGAACACTCATTTCAGCTACAATAAAAACCTAGTACTTGGAACTTAGAGAACTTCCAGTTCTTTCAATATAAAATCTATTACTACATTAGTTCTCAAAGTAGTGATTAACAAGCACTGTTGTTGTCCTAAATTGGACTATGTTTTTTCCTTGGAAACTGGAAACATAAAAGCACTGATACATTTACAATTTATAATTGCTGTAGAACTACAAGAACAAAAGTTAAAAAAAATTTTCCCCCAGAAAACTGTAAAGCAGTCTTGCACGACATTTATTTAACTGTATCGCTACTCTAATTACTCCAAATATTTGATACAGATAATGAAATTTAAAAGATGTAACAGCTATTTATATGAATCTTTCCAGATCATACCGTCTCTATACATATCATAGTGAAAATAAGGAAAAGCTTTTATAATCAGTAGATAAAACTCGATTGTAGCAGGCTGTCTGCCACACTACAAAATCTCTTATAACAACTTGACAACTTGTTTGAAACAATCTTTTCCTGATTCTGATCCAGAGAATCTGATGAAAAAAAATCAGTGATATTAATCAGAAGGTCATGATTTTAACAGAAATGTGAGAAATTCCTTGTGGCTTGTCTATATTTTTCAGGCCTAACAATGCACATACTTGAATATTCTTGTCTAAATCTCCCCTCATCAAGAGTTGATCTCAATTATGTAAAATACAAAGGACTTTCCAAGACTATTTCCACCAAATGGTTAAACATATGCTTAAAGTGCCAAGTATGCTCAAATCCCACTGACTTCAACACAACTTCAGCAAAAAATTTGCTGAAAATAGTCATATAGATGTATATAGTTACTGAATTGGTAGGATTGTGCTGTAAAAGGTAGCCAACTGCTTCAATAGTGAAAAAGAACAACAACCCGTCCTCATGTCTGCAAACAGTATAAAAAGACTTCAAAGTTTTCAAACTAGCAGAACTTACTGAGTGAATTAGGGAGCTTTCCTTTGCCATCAGCTTTCAAGCAGAACTTTACTTTGAAGCTGTTTTGGAGGAAAAGAAAATATTAATTTCACTCACTTTTTTCCCCTCATTTTCTTCTAAAATTCTTTACTGTTTTTCTCAGTTCTTAGTTATTCTCTTTTGAGGCTCTAGCTCACTCCCAAAAGCTATGTTCTACTGATAGGAGAGAAACTATAACATATTAATAAGCAGACAGCAAAACAAGCAATGTAAAGCTTTGGAGTCTTGAGTCATGCAGGAATAGTCACCACTGAAGTAGAATGTTTATTCCTGAAATCAAGTGTGGCTTATTTATTTTTCAAGCTAGAAGGAACTGGCATAGTGAGTTGAAAAGGAAGTTAGCACAAGAAAGGAAAAGTGGGTTTAGATAACAGTCCAGGAACAAGAACCAGTTGGCAGAGCAGATCATTTCCCAAGTGTTTTCCGTAAGTCCACCTGAACAGTAAGTTAATGGGTAAAAACACTGCAGAAGCTATGTGATCCGTTACCATCTTGGGAAGGTCTAAACTCTACTCAACACAGACAACTGGCAATCTCTGCAGGTAGGACATAACCTTGGAGTCAGTCTAATATCTATTCAAGGCAATGTTGGTCCTCCCGCTGTTGTCAAAGACTTCTTATTTTGTACCGTCTGTTCTTTCAGAAAAATCTGCATTTGATTGCCTTTTCTTAGTAAGCTGACTAGACTTCCTGAGTGCTTTCAAAATTGAAAGCTTATAGAAATAAAAAAGTCCCTCCCCTCAAAGTAAAACAAAGATACCACGCTTACCAAGAAACTTTTACATCTGACAAGGAACAGGCTTTGTTTTCTGGGTTTAGAATGGTTGGATTAACTTCCAGGGCAGCGTTTACTCTAATAACTGGTCTAGCCCTGCAAAGAAAACATCCTCTTGAACAGCATTCAACACCATGTTAGAAAACACCTCTCTCCATCAAATTGTGAAATATACACATACACACTTGGACAATATTTAGTGAAACTGCAAGAATAACAGATAATCACTGAGCAGTTTAGGGAAAAGCAGGAAGCTTTGCTGTGCCCTTTCATTACCATCAGAGTCAGAACATGGACAGTTGTGTTAAGAGGAAGTCCTATCTATTTCTGGCACAGACAAAAAAGGTATTTTCCCATAATGAGCAAGTCTGGATGAGAATATCGGGATTGCAGTGTAATAACTAGCAGCATCATGTGAGTGTCAGAATCTAAAATATCATCAATCAGAAAGCCTTGAAGACAGCTTATATTTTCTCTTAACTACAGATTATTGAGAAAGACAAATAATAGATTGCAGACTGTAGATTTACTCAGTGAAAACAGCAATATAAAATCTCAAGCAGTTTGAAAGGTGGAGCAGCAGAATTTCAGGTTTCCCTGATCCTGCTTTCTTTTGTCACTCAATACCTCTGAGCTTTCATTCTATTTGCACCTATGTAGAAGCATAGAGGGATACTTACCTATACAAAACAGCTGTGTCAACACCAAAGGCTCCAACAATCAAGTCTAGGAAGAATGGAGAAATATTTCACATTACAATGTATTTTTTTAAGATATGCTGTTAGTCAGAGGTGGGGCTACTATTAAGTTATTCTAAAGTGACATTTAGGGCAAAGGACCTGGATATCCATTTCTGTCCACATCTGTGGCTCCTTTCAGCGAGTACCCAAAACTGGGTGGCATAGTGCGAGCAGCCCACTGCCCTTCAAGAATTTGAGATGGGACTGCATTCAAACCATTTGCTCTTCCATTGTAGATATAGACAAGTCCTCTCTTGTCCTCTCCACCATAGGGTGCAGCAACTGCAACATCTGTAAACCCAAAGAACAATCGTGAACACCTCCAGATGCAGACTAGGAGAATATATTTGTGCTTACATTGATCAATAATTTCTGATACTACAGGTTCACTGTGTGTCAGCAGAGAGGAAACGCAATCGGCCTTTAAAATGCTCATCAACAACTTCTTTTTTTAAACTGGGTGCTGTTTTTTCTAGAAAATATATACGTTTAACAAGAACGTATATCATCGACTTGCACGAGGGGAGAGGAGGGAAAGGAATAGTTCTACAAACACTTCTGCACTTCAGTTACTGACTTACAGCCAAATCATATGGATTTGAGATGCTTTTGAGAGTACTAAACACCTAGAATTAGTCACTTTTGGCACCGAATCACAAAACTAAGTAGGATTATCTGCCCATTTCATTAACACACTCATGTTCCCCCAATGGGTGTGAGATTTTAATAATTCTGGAAAATTTAAATCAGCCTAAAACACTGGTAAATATCAAATTCCAGTCTATCTTGATCATGGCTTGACAGTAAGTTTTATGGAGAATTTTCAGTTAATGCAATTATGCTATCTCTTAAAGTTTAATAAATTTGAGAGTACTCATTATCAATGACTAATAAACAGTAATAAACAAAATGCTAATTGGACTATCTGTAAGGACAGCTTTAGAAGTGTACATAGCATCTAAATTCAATATTTCCACAGTTGGTTTAAAGACCAAAAATGAAACACTATACACAGTAATTACATTATTCCCTTCTCTTTCCTTAAATTTCAGAAAGTTTCATTAAAAGAACAAGAACTTAAAAGTTTACCATTTTGTATCTTTGACTCATCTTAACAAACTTTCTGAAAACAGGAGAAATTCCAATCTTGCACCATACTGAGGGAAAGCATTTTAATTAACACTCTCAAAATTAAACAGAGCTGGAGGGGAAAGACTGAAAAATCAGACTAAATAATGGCAAAGTAATTAAAGAGAGGCAGATTTTGCTACGATTTTCTCACCTACAGTGTATTTCAGATTGAAATATGATGGAATCAAAGCATTTTTCAGATAATCTCATCAAGTGATCAGATTTTTGCCTATCAGTTATAACCTTTCCAATGTCTTCTGTAAGTAGTTGCAGCGATATTGCTTCTTCACAGTAGTTCTGTATACTATTATCAACTAAAAAGGTCCCTTCCAACCCAAACTATTCTATGATTCTATGATTTTACAATTTAATTAAAAAACTAAATTAGAGCTGCGCAGGAATCTGAAATATTAGTCTATTGTAATTCTTGATCTTTCAGATAATACTTAGATTGCAAGCAGAATGGAAAACACAAAAATGAGCATTTTTTGCACAACTCAAGTGCCTACAACTCTTTAGGTAACACTAGAGTATGACTTGCAAAACAAAATGTTCTCCCTAGAATTTCTGGAAGTCTCCATCCCAAAACCATATGATCCTTGTCTGTTTCATTGCTCTCCATTCCTAAGTGAAAGTAACAAGAAGCACTGGCAACAGGTCTGAGAGTCCACAGCTTCAGTTGTATCAGACTCAGACTCCTCATCCAAACACTTGTTCTTGGTACAGTTGGCAATAGTTGTTATGGGATATTTTCACCACTCTTCCATTTTGAAATAAGAAAATCTAGATTTTTCTCAGGAAAACATCTTCTATCAAAACATTTTTAACCAGCTCTCTGAAACAAAACCTTCTTTTCAGTCATCATTGTGTTTCTGGAGAGGAAAGTCGGCTTTAAGCAATGGAAATGGGAAAATTATACTGAAGATGTCCTAACAAGTCACAGTGGAGAGTCAGGCATTTCATCGAAGTTTCTATTGTACATTTAGAAACTAATAAACTGATCAGTGTAACAGCTAAAATAATCCATGCTGTAGTTTAAATGGTATAGTCTCTGCTCGATGCATACATGTAACTCCTGTTAGCATTCTTGGGAGTAGCATACAAGCATCGAAAGGAGTCTAGACCTTAGTGTCCAACATTCAGTCATGGTTAGAATGGTTAATGTTTCTGTGCAGAATCCACAGTCAGTGCTCTGTCTACATTTCATCTACGAACGGAAAATACTGATCAATAAGTGATGTCCTACCATTGAAGCCATCCTGATCTAGATCCCCCAGAGGTGCAACAGAACTGCTGAATCTTGCAAAGATCTCAAAACCGTTCAGCTTTGTGATCTGAAACCCTCCAGAGGCTCGTTGAAGGCAAATGGAAACTTGGCCAACCTCTTGAAGTTTCCCATCAGAACCTCGATCCATAAAAAGAGGGGCTCCAATAAACAAATCTGTGTAACTGGACCAAAGAAGGATAAGGTTCTTCAGTAACAGCACAAAAATTCGGTTTTATTCTCTTAAGCATCCGTTAGTAGGACTAACTTAGCACTGAAGTCAATATTAAGATTAAAGTTACCTATCTTTAAATTGCAATCGAAGGCAAATATTTATTGACAAAGTAACCACAAATATACCAGAATGTGATGCATTTAAAGCCTGTGAATAGACTCATGTGCATTTATATAAATAAATACAACAAATCTACAATTGTTAATACAAACATTGAGTGCTAATGAGAAAGTGCTAAACCAGTAATGAAGACAAAAATCTGAATTGTAGGAAAGACTTTTTAATAAAAGTTTCTTTTTTTTTCTTTTCGGAAACAAGTTGGATAGCAATGGAGAGAAACTTACTTGTCCCCATTAATATCTGTGGCAGCAACTGAATACCCAAAATAGGCAGCCATCTGGAAAACAAAATTTAAACCAAACTTGTGAGTTGTTGTGATATAAACACACAACAAGTTTATACAAAGCTGTATAGAAAAGATGTTACGGAGATGATAATATATACTACAAAATTGTGTGTCTCCTTTCTCCTTGTATTTTCCTTTCTCTTCCTTACTCAGAAAACGAACTGATCAGTTACCTTCCCCATTCCCCCTTTCATGATCCAGTCCTCTTTCCTAATTCTCAAAGTAGACATTTCCATCATTTAAGTAACATTGTTTCTCTAAGTAGTACTACAAAACAGGAACTCACAGAACATATATTTTTAGGTTCCTACAGGCTTTATAAAATTTTCTTTGGCACATAAGGTAATAACGTACAGAATATATGTTCTAGTACTTAAAATACCGTCTCAACATGTCATCTTTCTCTAGGAATAGCCTCCCAGTCATTCACCACACTGAATAAAGCTACCTACCTGCTCTCCAGTGAAGTTGTACATGGAAGACATGTTTTTCCCATTGTAAATGGACACCTGCACATGTAGAAATACATGTTACAGCATACCAACAACATTCATCTTTTTTATTTATTGTGAAGTTTAATGTTTCAAATTTCCTACCATGCCCAGAGTTCTTGCTGCTCTTGGGACTCCTGATACAAAGTCTGAAATATAAAGCAAGACACTCAGATAACATTCAAGTCCCAAAGCACAATGACTTTGCTTGAATAGAGTAGCTTATTCCTAATGTTTTATGCATTTTCCTGTGCACTGTATCATTTGTTCTATGCCATTTATTTGAAAGACCTGCCCAGCCTATTAACATGATTTTTTTTTTATTGAGGCAGGGGTTTTACCTTCTATGCCATCACCATTGAAGTCTCCAACAGCCACCGAATAACCTGATGAGACAAAAGGAGTAAATCACTTTAAAAACATAATTAAACCTTTCATCTCTCTTTACACTCTTCATACGTCCCTACGCACGGTCTTCTCAGTTCATCTTAAAACACAGTGTAATAAATATTAGACTATGAACAGCTACATGAGTAGACTGTAATTCATCAGCATCCATGAATTTGAGATCAGAAGAGGAAAATTTTAAAATTATCATCCTGGGAAACATCCTGGCCTATCCTTGCTTTTTTCTGAACCCAGTTAGACATACGTGAAGCTAAATGATGATTTCCCACTCCTCTAAGGGACTGTCTTCATTATTTTTCTTCCCAAACACAATTCTTTCATATTTTTGTTTTGTTTTGGTAGATTATTTAGAAACAGCTGCTTTTCTAAAAAAAATAGATATGTGACTAAATTCTCACACAAAAATCATGCCTTGGCCATTCCCATATTCAGCCTGAATCATAGAGCACAGAAATTCATAGAAATATTTCCATTTATTTCATCATCAGGTGCTTTTTGAATCAAGTCTATTGCAAGATAACTAAGCTTCCACCATAAATAAATTACCGTATTTCCAGGTGTATAGCTCTAATTATCTGACAAATGTTGAATTAATAGTAGTGATTTAGGCTTAAATATGAACAGTGCAAGAGAGTTTTTCAAGTACAACTAGGTTTTCTTCCTTTTCAAACACTCACCCAAGTAGCTGTCGTCAAAAGCAGCACTGGCAGGTCTGGTTGCTAACTGGTCATCATACTTTGTACTGTAGACTTTGGAGTCATATTTAGCCACAATCTCTGTCACTCGATCAGAAATAAGTTGTCCTAAAGAGAAAGAAAACAGCTTAAAACCACAAATAAAACGTGTGTGCACTCATTCAGTAAGCAACAGGACGTGTTTACAGAATGCTTGCTTCTAAAGCAACAACTCTTTCATGATACCGACCTGAAAATAGCCAACAGCAGGAGCACTAGAAAGGATATGTGAAAATTTGGACCCTACTTCAGCAAAGATTTATGAACATACTTAATCAAAAGCACACAGTTCTCACTGAAAATAGAAGCTGCTCCTACGTGCAAGGCAGGACTTAAATGGATCTGCTCAGTTAGGTAACATTAAGTATATGCTTATGGTATGCAGATTTGGGTCATCACTCTTTGGCTAAATACCATAACACAAGCGCTTAATACAGCAGACAAGCAGCTAATAAGGTGAGCGTGGTGTATGACTGCCTTCTGTTTTCACCTCAGTAGCCACTAGGTGGTGACTTCATTACATGCCTGTCTTTCAGTTGAAACTAAATCTTGAATCACAAAAATTTTTCAGAAGAGCACTTACTTCACATATGTGTTCTTACATGTATGAAGTATAGGGAAAAACTACTCCTCCAGCATCTCAGAACGTGGAATAAAAAGCTGGGGTGAAAAAAATCTAGTTTTTAGAACTATACTATGTTCTTCCATTCAGAGTTCAGATTTTTTTTTTTTGGTAGCAGAACAGAATAAGGTTGTTTCAGCAGATGAGCTGTCACTTTTGCCAAAAAGCAATAAAATGAATACACAAACAATCCATATTATACTGTATCCACAGTTTAGTTTCAATCATTCCATTTTGTTCAGAGTTTAAAACACAGGACTGGAAACAAGTCTCCTGTGCTGCTGCATCTCCATGTAGGCTAGGGAGATACAGAAAATCTTTCATAAATGTTGGTATTTACATTAAAAACCAGGCACCAGAGTTCAGCAGCTATGTCCTGAATGTAGCAGCACCATCTTTTGAACACGGAGCTAGAGCTAAACACTGAATGATCCTGCGAACAAATACTGACTGAAGCCCACATTAGCAAAATACATAGGTAATGTTCTGTGTAAATTTCTCATTGAAAATACATGCTTCATAGGTGTGTCAGAAATTACAAAACATGTCAATTTTGAAACAACAAGCAAAATATCCTAAAGGAAACTTGTCTTGCTGGTGGAAACAAATTCCACATTCCTGGGAAAATGCATAGATTTATTTAAAAGACAAGAGACACATCTATACAATTATTAGTTCAGTTTTAATCTGTGGCTGTCTTGATTATTCAAGAAATATTTTGAAAGATGAAGAAAAATTATTTCTGTTAGTTTTCTTACTGACAAAGTCTTTGACAATGGTTGGAGGAGTGTGGACACAAATCACTAAGAGGATATCAAAGAGGTTAACTTCTCTGTGACTTAAAAGATGTATCTCACCTTGCCAGTAAAAACTTCCAGGTCCTCCAAGTAGCACTCTGTCTCCCTTGGAGGGAGGAGGAGAAAAAAAAAAAAAAAGAAAAAACAACAAAACACTTTAAGCATACAAGAGAACATCTCCTATGTCTATCGGAAGTAATTCCATGCATGTGTATCACTGTAGCTTCACTCATCTCAATCTACTTTATTTTTTGAAGGAATGATTAATTAAAAATGCATCTCGTAAAACACTAAGATAACAAACAACATGCCTTCTGTGACTTGCTTCTCTGTTTCACCCATTTAAAATTCTAGGTAGAATTCCACTTTTATTGTAGTAGACCCTTCTACCCACATAAATCTAAACCAACAGAAATCCAATTAGGAGAAAACTTGAAGACTGCTACAAGGCATTCAAAATATGTTTCTAAGTCAGTACTCAAAACTAGCTTTATCTTCTGCCCCTGACACTTTCTGTAACTTATCTTTAGAAGAGTTTAATTTAGAAAATCTGTGCGTTCATTCCCCCACTCTGTATTCCTCAGTACAATGGCAATCTACAAACCATTTTATGAAACTTCAACCACATTAGCTATCCCAATGTTGGGAATTTGCTCCCTAAGTACTGAATTGGGCCAGAGGCTTTGCTACATAATTAAGCCACTTATTTAGGTTTTACTCTTAAAAACTACCATATTCACCACTCAGAAAAATCTAGGTCAGAGATTTGGAGATACCCTATACCTAGGCTTGCCCACTCAGCTAGAGGTTTGGATTAGAGCCCAAGGTTGGTTTTAACTGGGGCTGCAGTCTGCACAGTATGCATGCAAAATAACTCAAACAAAATAACTCATGGTGCATGCAAAATAACTCAAACACTTATAGTCCTATACTGCACTTCGCACAGTTTCCTCTGCAAGAAAAACAAGTGTCCTCAGGCAAAGAGTGAAGGGATATGACCCAATCATAAGATATGAGGAAGCCAAAAAAATCACCACATCACAAACAGGACTTGCAGGGTCTTAACATGTCCGGGCTATGCTTATCAATTTAGCTGTACAATATAAAAAACTATAGTTAGTTAGTTCTCAGATTTGTGCACAGTTTTATTGTGCCTGGATTTAAAAAGTAACTGTGAAATTAAAAAAAAAAAAAGGAACTATAAAAGGCAGGGAGAACAAAAAAGAAGAAACATAAGACAGACAGGAGAAAAAAGAAATAAGTCTACTTCTGCCAGCTGATGAGAAAAACAAAACGTAATTCACAAGAACATTGTTTACTAGTTCCCTTTGGCAGTAAGTTACTCTTCCTCAAGAAGTAACACTAGCTATGCACTGATCCCTTCAAAATAAGTATCTCAAAAAACATGATTACTACAGTTTGTTTCACTTAAGGACTAGCTGCAGCAGAGATTTATGGCATGAGGCTGGAAAAGCAGATTATTTGTTCAGGACGTGATTCCTACAAGAGGTGAAAGCGTGCTGCTGTGAAGATGTAGGGAGAAACACGTTTAGAATACTGGAGTAGTTTGAAGTTACTTTTATTTACAAGGATGTGTTTGGTTGTGGGTTTTTCCTCCAGGAATGGTAGTTTACATATAGTTTTGTAATAACTGTGCTTGTTATGTGGTCTCTATAAGGGTTGTTGTTAACTTGCAACTGTCTGCTGACTCGTAGGAATTGAGAAAGAATGACCTACCTTTGTAAAGTCAATACTAAATCCACCTTGACAAAAACCCTGTCCATCTGCATCGATAGTGGCTGCAAAAAAGAACGGACAGAAGAGGAAGAGAGAGAAAAATGAATAAAATAAATATTATCAAGTACTAGATCAGATGATTCTGTTGATACTTTCCAGTGCATCTTCCGAAGCGACCTCACGCTCCTGAACTTGAACCTTGGAAATTTTTTTTTCCTCTAAATTAGTATTTTCTCCTTATCAACAACTCACAACCAAATGCTGTAACAACTTTAGGGCTGGCCTAACATACATATAACATTAACATATGTTCTAGCCTAACACAGTCAAAGTAAATAGCAACTCCATATTCCTTTGTATTTAATCTCCAAAAGTTTTGGGGAAAAATATTTGCAACTTTTATTCAGGAAATAAGGTATCTGAGAAACAGGCAATAAGTTTTTCTTCTGGTATAGAATAAAAATCTGAAAGGTACTTAACCGTAAGTTGTTTCAAGTATTGGCTTGAAACAACCAAAAAAAAAAAAAAGAATACCTGGCTGAAAAAAAAAAATCTATACATACTGAGACTCATCCCAGCAAGAAGTGTTATGGCTGAGTTAATCTTACAATTATACAGCTCCAGACTAGAAATGTTGAGACGTCCTTACTGAAAGTGTGACTACTTAACTGGGATGATTTAGTTTAATATGTGTTTATTTAACTTCTT